AAAAGAATTTATGATAAATCACATGTATTTTAATGAATGTTCTCGCTGTAAAAGACAAGTTACTCTCCAAAGCTAAACCCTGTTGAAAAGTGTTTTAGTGTCATAAAGAATTATTATCGCCAGCAAAGACCAAGAACTGAGAGGAAGTTGAGGAAAGTTATTAAAGAAGCCATTGAGAAATTACAAAAAAAAGATTTAACCAAAACTTTTAAGAACTGTTTTAATTTATAAAATCTCTTATACTGACATTAATTTTGAAAAATGCTATATTAAATCTATAGTCTCTTTCGATACTGAGTTCTGGTCTAAAACTGATTGCTGTTTAATTCCTAATAAGTATTTATTTATTCCATTCATGATTTTTAGTATTGGTATTAAGTTATTTTTAATAAAATTTTCTCAATTACTCATTATTTAAATCCTCTAATGTTTTCTCTCAAATTTTAACTTGTAATTTAGGAGAGTAATATAATAAAGAAAATAAACTTAGTTAGAAATAAGCACAAAGTATAAACTAAAAATGTTTAAAAATAAATATATAATAATCAAATCATAATCATAAAAAATTTATATAAAAGATATGAACAAAAATATAGAAATCCAAAAAATCAAAGTAAATAACGGACAAGAACTAATAAATAAAGCCCAAGAATACAAAAATTCAGGCGGAGAATGAAAATTGTTAGAAAAATATGTGGGGCATGCACCAGGAACAGAAAGAGAAAAACTTAACAACTTACATTGAGGAATAATCATTAGCAATGGAGAAAAGGAAATGAATATTTACTCTATTGGAAATAATAACTGACATACAAGTGGAATATTTGAGGAAGTTGATTTCCGAGACCAATTAAACCAACTTTTTCCGGAAGCGGTAGGGGGAGTTTTTGCTGGTAGCGACAAAGAAGACGATAACTGAGGAGGCAGACCCACCCAAAAAAGATTAGATGCAGGAACTTTTAAGCAAGTAAAAGAAGCAGAAGGAGCATATAGTCTTTACCGCTATTTAGTAGCCGAAAACTCTTGACATTTGAAAAAAATATTAAACCAATATATTCGAGAAAATGAGAGTAAAATCTATCAATCCGCTAATCCTCATTTTTCAGGTTGGGCAGAAATAATTGACGGTCAGGACGGAAACATGTATCTTTATGTGGGTGAGAAAGGGTTTTGGGATTTACTGCCTGGTTGTTTGGGTTTAGTATTAGGATTGGTGTTTGGGGTAGTTGGGCTACTGA